AGTTCACACTTGGGTTTTTTTCCTCTCAGGCAGAATAGGATAAAAACTCGAGCTTCCTTCCCTCCAAAGATGCAAAGTTCAGAACCGAGTTGTATGCATACATCACCCATCGAGACAATTTATTCTGAAACTTATAACATCACATTGTCTCCTTTAATAGATAGCTTCTCTTTAGACCTTGTTTAGGAAATGTCTGGTCATTGGTGTCCCCTTGGAAAGGTTGGGGCCTCTCAAGTTAAGGAAACGATGAAGAAGCGAGACAAGCCCAGGAGTCGGGTAGGGGTGAGGAAGCAGAGTTGGAAAAACTGAGTCAAGGAGAGGCTATTAAACACTAAAAAGAGGCCTGAGGAGCAACTCGGATCTGAGGAATCGCTACATCACAGAGAAAGATCTACTATTCCCAGACCTCGCAGAGATGGAACAGAAGTGGATTTCGATGACATCAGGCAGTGTGCAAGCACCTGAGTGGGTAGTGGCTGTGTGTTTTGGGGAGGAGTGGGATGGGGAGCAGATACCATTAGAGGCAGCAACACCAGACACCTGTTAAGGTTGTTTTACAAGACTGTCAACAAATACTTGAGGAGAGAGCACTATTCTTAAGTCGCATGGGTGATTCAGCTGTTGTTTCATTTCCCTGGTGTTTACTTAGGTGTAGAGAGTAATTCTAGAAGAATTTACAGAAGGGATGGGCCCTTGAAATGCATTATAAGAAAGCTGAACTTGAGTTAGATCTTTGACAAATACAGAGAAGGAGAATATAGGTATTTCCCACAAGGGCCGGAGAGAAGAAATATCCTCTGTGATGATCCAAATAGGACCGGTGTGGGGAGAAGAGGAGCAGAAGTACAATTAGCAGAGGTTTGGGAGCCAGACAGGCCTAGGCGGAACATCAGCTCCTGTGCTCTCCAGCTAAGTGATCTCTGGCAGGTTTCTAAACTCCTGTCAGCCTTCTCTTCCTCATCTGTTAAAGGGGAGGAATACCACTGACCTTGACAGTGTATAGATCAGAGACCATATATTTAAAGCTCTCCACACAAAGCCTGCCATTTAGCATGTGTTCAACAATGAGTGGATTTAATAACATTAAAAATAAGAATAAAACAAGATGGACTTAGTCAGGGATAGGGAGGAGGTAATTTAAGGACTTAAGGAATCTTCTATGATTAGCAGGAAGCTTTGAATTTTACCTCGTCACTCATCTAGGTTTTTGAGCTGGAAATATGATGACATGGGTGTCCTAAGAGGATTACACTGGTGCCAGTCTGTAGGACACAACAGAGACAAATACACCACTGTTCTCAGAAGCTACCTACCAAGAAACAAGATGGCTGTGTGTGTGTGTGTGTGTGTGTGTGTGTGTGTGTGTATGTCCATTCACCTGAATGTCAGGTGGAGAGTAAACATTTCTCCCTCGAAGGTGCACCGAAAGGAGTTTCATTGGATCCCACTCTACCTTAAAAGCAAGTTGAGCCATCCAACGGTCTCAGAAACCAAACAAAAACTGTTGTGCCCAAATGTAAAATTCTATTTCCCTTGATGTGTCTCCCTCACTGCTAAATTCTTAGCCTCTCACATGGTTTCCAAGCCCTAAGCATCCCTTATTATTTAAATCAGATGAGGGTTCACTCTCTAGTGTTTTTTCTTGTTTTCTCTAACAAAAATAATAAATCCCTTCTGTACTTTTAAAGCTTGTACCAGCACGCACACACACACACACACACACACACACACACACACACACACACAAGCTAGACAATTATAGCTTTTAAATGAGGATAGTGGGCCTCTGGAGTTTAGGCTGATGAGAGCCTATTCAGGAAGGCAGATATTGACTGATAAACCCACAAAACTCTCTCCTGCTTATTTGCCACAGGATACAGCAAGAGTAAGATGTCCTTGAACACATCAGAGAAATAACCATTTCATCAAGATTCTGGGATCAATAAGTGTCTGCAACCAGAAGTGGATGGGCAACCGGTTAGCAGGAGAAAAGAGAGTGACGGTCAAAATGTGCTGCCATTCCACACCAGCAGAGGTGAGATCTGCCAGCAAGCGTTCCCTCCCATCAGGGTCAACCCCAAACCAGACACGTACATGTGAACTTTACCCAGGAGAGAAAATAATGGCTCCAACCAATGTGAGCTAAGCCATCCTAAGTGGTGGGCGTAATGGAGAATTTATGTCACTCCTTCACAAGGCCTCGCACATTCCTCAGGATGGACGCTGCCATGATCTGAACCTACTCAGGGGAGACCTATGTCAGCTCCAGGAGGAAGATGCTAGGCGTCTCTGGGAGCAAGAAGAAACGAGAGAGGACTAGAAGAGCTTCAGGATGGAGAAGACACAGGTTCAGGTCCCAGCTCTGAGCACCAGCCGATATGTATCAGCTGCTGAGAATCTGTGATGGGCAGATACTACCGTGAGCTGTGCGCTAAAAAGTGCTGCTTCGGAGGGGCTCACCCTCGAGTGAGAGAGCCAGTGGATGTCCACATACTGTGTAAGTGCAGTCACTGATCCATGCATGCCATCTGATGGAACACAGAGGATGAATACTTGGTCCAATTTCCCACTGTGTGACCTTGAACAATTTCCTTACCCTTTCTGAACCCCAGCTTTCTCACCTCCAGGATGAATGCCTGGACTACGTGCTCCCCTGCGCCCTTCCCACTTTAAAAGCTACGGTGGGGGGTGCCCGGGTGGCTTAGTCGGTTAAGCATACGACTTTCGCTTGGGTTATGATCTCATGGTTCGTGGGTTCGAGCACCGCATCAGGCTCTGTGCGGGCTGCCAGCTCAGAGCCTGGAGCCTGTTTCGGTCTGTGACTCCCTCTCTCTCTGACCCTCCCCTGCTCACTCTCTCTCTCTCCTAGAAATAAATAAAATTTAAAAAAAAAAAAAAGCTACAGTGGAATTTCCTTCTTTCCACAGAAGCTCTTATGTACCTGCCCCACATCCTGCCTTCCTTCGTTGTTGGCTGAGGTGGGTGCAATTGGGGAGCTGGGAGGTAGCAGCATGGACTGGCACAGACCTCAAAATAAAAAAGGAACAGCCTTTAATCAGTGGCTAAGGGCTAAGATAATGCTAGTATGTGACCTCTCGGTGGCCCGTCTCAACGTGCTAGTTAGAAAGTGGCTACTGACTTGTAAAGTAAGCATGAGCCCAGGCAATCAATCTGAGTTTTGGGACACCTGCAATGACTCAGAAAAAGAATTGCTCTTTGGGGACCACTGATCTGTGGTTTAGAGCAAGTCTGGGGCTTTCCTGGGCTCCACGGGAATGGAATCAAGATGTGGCTTTTGTAACCCCCTTTCCCATCATCCATAACTTACTTATATTGGGGAAACAAACTCAAATCCATGAGCAACAGAGATCAGGGCTGGGGTTACTCTGGTTGGGTAGAAGGTACAAACGGAGAACCGTGGTCTTTATTAAATGTCAACATCTGTATATGTGACTCTGAGGGGTCCTGAAAACATCCCCCAAAGAGAGGAAACATCATTAGGAGCATCTTTATTCACACCAAAGCATTTCACTCAATTACCACTTCCTCAGTGAAAGACCAAAGCTAATTCAAGTGATTATTAAAGATACACAGGAGCAGAATGGATAGAGCAAAACCACGTTTTTCTTTGTCCTTAGGTGCAGCCTTAGCTGTCATGATCCTACTTCTCCAGCTGTTCATTAGTATAACAAAACCAAATGGAGTTTCCAGCAACAAGGATCAATTTGAGTTTGGCATGTTTACCTCAAAATTACTCCCTGTAGCGGCTTTCAGTGAAAATAGATAAATCATTGAAATGGTTCGAGGCAGACGCAAAAGAACAGACATCCGTGTTTACGGAGAAAGTGATGTCCCTCAGCAAGAAAGTGTGGCAGAATAAATCCAAGCTCATCAAAGAGCAAAATTAAAGGGTGGTTATTCACATTGTAAAATCATGTGTTGAAGGTCCCTAAGGCATATTATTAAGGGGGGAAAAAACAAGTCACAGAAAAATGGTAAAATGATCCCATTTTTATACTCCTCCTAACTATCTCTCTCCCTCTCTCTCTCTCTATTCCTGTCTAGAAAGATACACAATACTAACAAATATTCCTCTAGAGAGAAGGGGGAATTGAGGTGGACAGAATAGAGGCAGGGAGCTTTCACTTTTTGCTCTCCATTCTCCTCCAGCATTTCACGTTCTTAAGATATTATTTTATGTATCACTGGGATAATTAAAACCAAGGATTGCTGTGTTCTTTTACATTTTCCAGATAAACTAATAATTTAAAATAGAATTCAATTCTGGAAGATTTAATTTACAGTTCAGGACCACGCCCAGTTCAAAAAATAATGTACACCTGTGCGGAGTGCCCCACCTTCTCCCTTTTGACGTTCTCCCCACCACCTGATTTGCCCCCTTTGACGGACATCGCATCCTTTAAAAAGGTTGGAGGGGTGATGAGGGGAACCGCAGAAATGCCAGGTGATTAAAACAGCACACCTGAAACCTTCAAAACAGCTCGCTTCTCTTTCCAGCCCATCCCGGCTACCCTTGGGCATGTCCCATTATAGCACAAATCTGGACCCTTTCATTATACATCTTCATTAACTATTGACTTGAGGGGGGACGGTAAGGAAGAGGATGAAGGCTAGCTATGGTTGGGGGCAGGAAGGCAACTCTCCGCCACGGCAAAAAAAAAAAAAAAAAAAAAATTCAAGATGCAATTCCAATCAAAAGAGACACGCATTAAGGAGCTCAGCTGTACAAACACTCCAGAAATAGGATGTGCTTCCGACGCCGCGGCGAAATTAAAGGTTCTTAATGACTTCACAATACAGAGGTTCTCGCCCCCAGAATATGTCTGCCCGGCTTTCGATTGATCATCCCCCCCCCCCCCCCCCCCCCCCCCCCCCCCCCCCCCCCCCCCCCCCCCCCCCCCCCCCCCCCGAGGTGGCCGAGCCCTGCAGCACCACTGCAACTTCTGCAACCGTGCACCGGGGTCGATATTTATAATTACCTTTCTCCTTCACCATGGCAACCGGGTCCTCTGGCGAGCGGCGCCGAAAGAAACAGCAAATAAAGTCTAGGAGCCCGGGCGCTCCTGGGCGGACCGACCCGCGGTGCAAGCGCGCTGCGAGGAAGCGCCCCCGGCATCCACTCGCGGAGTCTGGGGCTTCTTTCTAAAATCCCGCCCCCATCCCGGGGGGGGGGGGCCGAGCTCGCGCGCCCGCCCCGCGATCGCCGCCGAGTGGCGGCCGCGCCCAGCCCGGGGACGCTGCCCTTGAGCCCAGAGCTCTCGTTCCAGCTGCTGCTGTAACAAATGCAAAATTCCACTGTCCTAATCTCTGGTCACTGACACCACTTTGCATTCCTCGCGCCGAGGCCGGGAAAACGGGCAGCAAAACGCTCCCTCCCGGAGCCTGATAAATCATTGCCAGGAGAGGGGGGCCGAGGAACGGCCAAGGCGCTGTTTCAATAAACAAAACTAGTCAATTGTTAGCTCATTAGTTTCCTAGTACCGCTGCTCCCCAATCTTATTCCGGCTTCTTTCGGACACGCTGAATAAATAATATTAACCATAGTAGAAAAAAAAAAAAGAAAGAATGAGAGTGACTCCAAGTTCATTTTCTTCAACTTTGGAGGCTCAATTATGATGAGTAAAGATTGGCCCTGGCCCTCCCCCTCCCCATCCCTCCCCATCCTGGCTCCCAGCCCCCCCCCCTTGGTTTTCCTGAATGGGGGAGAGAAGCCGGAGGGAATTGAGACCATGAAAGCCAGCCCAGGAAGAGGATCTTTCAGGATTCAGTTCCTTCCAGGATCAAATTCAGGATCAAAGCAAAATTCTGACTTATCCAGTTAGGTGGGATTCCACCTTCCACCTTTTCTCTGCCTCATTAGAGTTTTCTAGACAAGCCCTTTGGATATACGAATGCATGAGGTAGGAACACTGTCCACAAAGTCAGGGGCAAAGAGCCACACCCGAGCCCCTCAGGCTAGACGCAGTCCCACTGGCTCCTGACAAGGCTTTTGATTTCTGACGCACTGGGTCACGGGTCAGTCTTCCAAAAGCAGAGGGCTTCTGGGTTCCCAAAGCCCACGCCCACCCCACCCCAGCACCTGTCTCTCAAACCCAGATCCTTCGGCCCCACCCTAGCCCTGGCCGACGTCACACATATCCACCATGTGGGAGAAATGGGATGAGCAAGAGACAAAAAGGCAGACATATCCCCACTCGGGGAGAGCAGCAGATGGCCAACACATCTTTCCCAACTGGAATGCACAGCCAGTATTAGACTGTATTTACTGCAAATATTGTAACGTGTTGGGTCTAAGAAAGCCCGGGGAAGAGAGAGGAATGAAGTCACTCAACCTGCCTCATCTTTGACTAGGAGGTTGTTTACAGCCGACTGAGGTTTAGGGGGGTGGGGAGGCCCTTTACTGCTGGGTTTCCGATGGGTAACAGTAGCAGATCTCAAGCAGCTGTGACATTCCTACATCTGTGACTCAGGGCCTTACTATTAATAGCTTGAGTGTCTCAGCCTGTAAGGGCTAAGCCCCTCCAACCCCTCAATCTGAATCGTCTTTTCTAGGAAACGTACTTTGCTCTCACTGCTCCCTGCCCCCACTGCAGCCCCACGGGTCATGTTTTTCCTAAGTCAGGGGCCAGCGGGAATAGAAGTGCTCTTGAAGCAGCTTTTCCAACCTTCGTTCATATCCAGGAGCCAAGCATTAGAGCCACGGTGTGAGTCCAGAGAAGTGGGCGGGGCTCAAGATCCCGGAGGGGACAAGCCCTTTACAGCCCCCAGTTTTCACGCACTAAAACTGCCCGTTGTTTGCTCCTGTACCCTTGCCGCTAATCACCCTCCGAGCTCATAAAGAGATGCTGACAAGCAAAATTAACCTCAGAGAAGTGGAATTAGTTTGGTGCTGTGAGCCTAGCAGGTGAATTTCTTTTACTATATTTTTGCTGCATAGGCACTGAGGCACTTTTCTCCAAGGCTTTCTCATGTACCTCAGCTCAGAACTAAGGGAACAGGATCCTCTCATCTTTCTCCTTCTTTCCCCCTGTCATTCTGTCCCTCTCTCCCGACTGGAATGAAACAGTAAAAACACCAATGGGCTTCTAGTCCAAATCCAATCCTCCGTAAGCGTTTCTGATATTATAGATGCAATTAGTTCAATTTCTCTTTTACTCGGGATGACAGTTTTCAGTCCCGAGACTTATTAGCCAAACTGGTCCCTATTACAGTTCTGAACCTACCTGTATACCTCGGTGGATAAAGTGCACAGAAACCCTGATTTAGAAAGGCTCTGGCAGCTTTAGAAACTAAGCTAGCAGAGTGACGGTTGGTGCCTATTCATTTCAGAGAAGGCTTTGCTAAAGGAAAATACTACATAGTGGTTCAGAGAGATTCCCTCCCTCCTGTGTTTTCCATGGAAAAAATTTTCCTGCACCACAAAGTGAATGAGTCACCGGCATTTAGTTGCTAAATAACAGTCATACAGTTAAAGTTCCCTCAACAATCAGGCACGGCTCCTTTAGGATAAAAGCATCCACTGGGCACTTTCAAGATAACCAAAGAGGGTATTACTAAAGTTATTTTTGGAATGTGGGAGAGTAAAACTAAATTGTTTTTGTCTCCTTGCCTCTGGCCGAATAGTTAAGGGCTTAGAGAACAGGACCAAAGAGGAGATATTTTCTACTTTCCGGTTAAAGCTGCAAGCGGTGCAGCAAAAGAAAATCCAAGAAAAATATGAAAAATGTAAGGCTCACAAGATGGCAGGCCTTTTCATTCTTAGTTTTAGAGATGATTTCCAAAGAGCGTCTCTCAATCTCATTCCACTCAAACGAGATAAGACTTCCTAACAACAGACCCCAACCCAAGGTTTTATTTGTTGTTTTATTCACCTAAATGGACTCGGAGCTGCCTTCCTTTTTCATTCACTCACAAAACGAAGCAAGGGTTGTCCACAAGTGACCAAAGGACAGAAGCCATTTTGTGGGAGAGAAAAGCTATGCTAGCACACAGCCATTCTTGGCAAAAATTCAAGAGTCCATCATTTCAGCAGAAGCTCTGCCAATTGAAAGGGAAATGTTGCAACCAGAAAACATGCAACCTAGCAGAGCCCTGTTCCTCATTGTCCTCGCTCTTCAACAGAGCCACAGATAGCCTGTCGCTTGTGCATCTGTATGGCGGGAATATCCGGACCCCAGGTTTCCGGGTATCACACATCCCTCAACACATTAGGACCCACTGGCCAAAGAGTGTGCAAAATCCTTTCTAGCAGAACCCAGCTGAAAGAAAACTCAAGATGGAGTTCCTTATTTGCTTTCCATTTCATGTTGACATTGATCAACCTCACTGCAGACATTTATAGAGCATCGCCTGTATGCCAGGAGCAATGAGGCTGGCAGTTCAATCACAGGAAGAGAGAAACCACTGCTCTGGAGTTGCTTAACGTCTATTGGAGGAGATGCATACACACTAACGTTCTCAATGCAATAAGGAAAGTGTTAAAGACAGAAGTAGGGTGCAATGGGCTCCAGGCAGTGCTGAGCCCAGCTGGGAGATGGGAGAAGCTTCCAGAATGAGTGAGAAGGCAAGCAAAAGCTGCCAAGTGAAGAAAGGGGAAAGATCATTTATTCCAAGCAGAGGTAGCCAGGATGTCAAGTAGCTCACTGTTCGTGGGGAACAGGAAAAGGCTCAAACTAAGTCTGGGGTAGTAGGTCACAGAGGGTTCTGAACGCCGCACTAAGGAAGCTGGACCCTAGAACTGATGGTTAGAGTCTCAAACCTGGGCTACCTGTTTCTTTCCAAATTAAGTTCAAAAGACTTTCACTTCATCTCAAAGTCTGCTGTGGTCTGTTTCCAACAACATTGCCTCCTTCCTCCAAACTAGGTGTGTTGGTGTATGAATATCCGGGAAGCATCTATGTTTATTAGTTTATTTAAATGTTTCCCTCATAAATAGGATAAAATGGTAGCCATGTACTTCTCACGCACAGCATTCTAAGTAACTCGGACCATTTGGGATTGTAGTGATGGCTTCATGTTCACCACTAGGCTATGAGCTCCATGAAGGCAAGTAGGGTTTCACACTTTTCTCCCTTCCCGAGGGTACAGTTTGCAGGCCTCCAGCGATAGAAATACTAGGGGTGCTTTAAATGTAAACACCAAGACATCTTGGTTCCCACCCAAGACCTCTTGGGTGGGATTCTCTGCAGAGGAGGCGGGAGCTACAGCCAGTTCTCTAAGTGACTGAGGACCACTGGCCTAGCGTGCCGGCCTGTGAAGCAAGAGAATGAATGTGAGACGCACAAACACAGCCAAACACCACGCTGCCACGTCTAAAGAGAAGTAGCCCAGTCGGTTAAGCATCCGACTTCGGCTCATGTCATGATCTCATGGTTCATGGGTTCAAGCCCCGCATCGGGCTCTGTGCTGACAGCCTGGAGCCTGGAACCCTCTTCAGATTCTGTGTGTGTCTCTCTCTCTGCCCTTCCCCAATCAAGCTTTGTCTCTCTCTCTCTCTCAAAAATAAATAAACATAAATAAATAAATAAATAAATAAATAAATATCAACAGTGCAGTTGGTTAAGCGTCAGACTCTTGATTTCAGCTCATGTCATGATTGTGCACTTGGTGAGTTCGAGGCCATGTGAGGCTCTGCGCTGACAGTGTGGAGCCTGCTTGGGATTCTCTCTCTCCTCCCCTCTTTCTGCCCCTCCCCTGTGCTCTCTCTCTCGCAAAATAAATAAATTAAATAAACTTAAAAAAAACCCACATTTTTAAAAAGCAACCCCTCTTGGTTGGCTAAAATAACAATCATCCAGACATTCACTGTGAACTTAATGGAAATTTATTGGAAGTGATGATTCCAGAGTTTCTTATGGCCCAAGAGAAATTCCTAAATGTCGAGGCCCTCTTGATCTACTCTCATTTCCTCAACAGAGAATTCCTAGGATTTTTTCCATATGAATCGCACAGACTCGATGCCCAGCAAAGTTCTTTTTCATGAATTCTTCAAGTAGAATTATTTCACATGTATATGCAAAACTTCCCCCACCGTCCTTCTCAGGAGCCAATGCTGAATTTGGATCTGAGCAATAGTCTGCCGCTTAAGAAAAATTACTATGGTATAAAGCTCCCTATAAATCATCCACTGAAGATATTTTCCTACGTTGTATACTGGAACCCATTACCAGAATTCAAAGGATCTCTTGATAGTAAAAGAGTTTCACAGAGTTTAGCCTAATTTGAGGCATGTGAGAAG